ATGGGAAGAATTTCTTCCTGATGTCCCATCTCAATCTCCCTCTTTCAGTTTAAACCCATTACCCCTTGTCCTGTCACTTTTTACCTTGTAAAAAGTCCCCTCCCAGCTTCCTTGCAGTGTCATGTAATAAAGCCCTCTCTCTTCCTTGGAAAAAGTAATTTAAAGAGATCTTTTCCATCTCCAATCCTGTCAACGCGGGAATCGGTGTAACTTACACTGCTGTTAGGGAAGGTATTGCTACACTGGAGAGTTTTAGCCTACCCGGTGTCTTAACTCAGGGGTGTTCCTTTTGGAAACTCCTTTTGTTTGCTGGAGCAGAATGAAGTTACGTGCTAGTAGGATCGGGATTGCTTTGAGTTAATTCGGGATGATCACGCTGAGCACTGTGTTCTTCTTTATCCCAGCTCGTGGGTTGGATATTCCTTCCATTAAGACCGTCATCAATTACGACGTGGCTCGGGACATAGACACGCACACCCACAGAATCGGCCGTACTGGCAGAGCAGGCGAGAAGGGGGTTGCCTACACTCTGCTGACTCCCAAAGACAGTAACTTCGCCGGTGATCTTGTCAGGAATCTGGAAGGCGCTAATCAACACGTTTCCAAAGAGCTGTTGGATCTAGCAATGCAGGTACGAACAAGCAAAACTCTGTGAGTTGAGGAAGGCTCCTGCCATGATTAGGTCAAAATCAGGAGCTCAGGGACTTGTTTCTGGCTCCATCACAGAATCATAGAATGGTTTGGGTTGGAAGGGACCTTAGAGATGATCTAGTTCCAACCCCCCTGCCGTGGGCAGGGACACCTTCCACCAGACCAGGTTGCTCCAAGCCTCATCCAGCCTGGTCTTGGACACTTCCAGAGATGGGGCACCCACAGCTTCTCTGGGCAACCTCTTCCCGTGCTCCCCACCCTCTGCGGGAAGAATTCCTTCCTGACGTCCAATCTACATCCCCACTTTCAATTTAAACCCGTTACCCCTTGTCCTGTCACTACAGGCCCTTGTAAAAAGTCCCCCCCAGCTTCCTTGTAGCCCCCCCAGGCACTGGAAGGTGCTATAAGGCCTCCCCAGAGCCTTCCCTTCTCCGGGCTGACCATGTGCTCACAGTGAGCTTTAGGCAATCTGTGCTCTGTAAGTAGGCTTTCCAGTGGTTTTAGTGGCCTTTGAAAGAATCCAGGAGGACATCAGGATTTTAGAATGCAGGATGCAGTCTGGTTTAGAGTCAGACACTGCCTGGGGTATCAGAAGCTGTAGTGTGGCTGGTGCCAGCAGAGCACTCCGGTGTCTCCTTACAGTCAGATTTTCAGTATACATTTATGGCAGGCACCAGGGAAATGCAGCTTAGTTGAAAGCTAAACTAGAAAATAATGACAAGGCCGTTCGCTCTGTGAGACGGTTGCTGCTTTGTCATTATACCTGCTTGGCAGTGCTGTCTGCCAGCCCTGCTATATATAGGTATGACGGGCAGCTGAAGCAGTTGTGCTTGCGCCACTGTACTCGTCAGCTCTTTAACTTCTCGTCTTGTGCTGCCTGTGTAGCTGCAAGAGAGCAAAGTCTTGGTAATTCCCAACTTCAGAGATGGATAAGCATGCTGGTGGCTTCATTGCCAAGCAGCTGGGACACTAGCTGCTAGAAGTACATATTTTTTCCGAGGTACAGAGACAGCGTTTTCAGAAGGGACAGAATTTGTGAGGCAGAGATCCACAGGCTGCCTTTGGGAGGAGAGTATAGAGCTGAATGGCTTGGCTTATTGGCTTCTTCAGATCTGAAGAAACATAAAAAGAGGTGCAGCTAACTGTTAGTTAAAAACCTGGTAATAGGAGGTCCGGTTGGACTGCCATTTCCTGGCCACTGCTTGTTGCAGGAACATTTGCTGACTGGACCTCGTCCCTCCTTATGTGGGCAGAGGGCTAAATTGATAAAACCCAAGTACAAGCAACTGCAGAGCTCCCAGGTGAAGGGCGTTAGCATTTATTCTTGGGTTGGTTAGAATGCAAAGCCCCAAAACTTTAACGTGTATGAAAGTTCAGGACAAAAGATGAGTTTTCATGAATCAGAATCACAGACTGGTTTGGATTGGAAGGGACCTTAAAGCCCACCCAGTCCCACCCCCTGCCACGGGCAGGGACACCTTCCACTAGACCAGGTTCCTCCAAGCCTCATCCAGCCTGGCCTTGGACACTCCAGGGATGGGGCATCCACAGCTGCTCTGGGCAACTGAGAAGATGAAAATGAAAAACATTTGTAATAAGAAGCTTCAGGACAGAACTGCCTCCAGCTTGGTTTCAAAGCGCTGTAGCCCGTCACATCCCGCCCCTTGCAGCAGCTGTGTTGTTAAATGGGAAACAGTTTATTTATATTTTTCTTTTGAAATGCTGACAATCCTTCTATTCCGAGCCTCATTACATGCATTTATGAAGCTTCTTATTCCCTGTGTTGAGAAGCCCTTGTCCTTCTTTTGCACAGAACCCGTGGTTCCGGAAATCACGTTTCAAAGGAGGAAAAGGCAAGAAGCTGAATATTGGTGGTGGCGGTTTAGGATACCGTGAACGTCCTGGTCTGGGGTCTGAAAATTCTGTAAGTAGAGATGCTGAAGAAGTTGTTTAGAGATTCTTGGAACTTTTAAACTTAGTATTGACTGACTTCTCCTTAATTTAAAAAATCTTCATAGTCCTGGAGTATAGCCTCTGCTTTCAGAGGTTTTTGTAGCTCAGAATTTTATCAGAAATATGTAAAGTGAAACTGTCCTGTGCTGTTACCCTCTTGTCAAGAGCTACCCTCTGTCAAGAGCAACCCAGAAGGGTTGGAGATTCTTCCCAAAACGGACTGTCAGTATTAAATAGATGCTGATAAATTACTTGAAACGCCATTTCCAGGCTGATTCTTGTCAGCAAAACACCTTGCAGCGTTGTTAACAGTTCCTAAGGTATGTCTGTGCTAGAAGACAGCTCACTGCCCATGCATACAGGGACTGGGTTTAACCTTAGGCATGTTGCTGAACACTGTGTGTTTTCATCCTTCCAAAAGGCACAGCTGAAGCCTTGTTCACACTTTGTCTTGGCTGTGACCTCTGTGAAAATCTCCATTTGATTGCATTTTGCTTTTGCTTGTGTGTAAGGAGCTGGGAAATGCACCGTCAAGTCGTGAGTCACTACGACTTACTGCAGCTTTACTTGCCCCAAGGTCATGGGGCAAACCATTCCGCTGTCCAGTGCTCTCCAGAAGTTTGTCATTTCCTGAGAGCAGGGTCAAGATAGATTCTGAGTTGAATTCCAAGTGTCTGTGTTGGATAAATCTCTCCAGTTGTCCCTTGTCTTTTTGCTTAGGACCGTGGAAACAACAACAGTGTGATGAGTAACTACGAGGCGTACAAGCCATCCACTGGGGCAATGGGAGACAGGCTTACAGCGATGAAAGCAGCTTTCCAGGTTGGTTCCATCATTTGTACCCCAAATTCTAACTCAGGAGGAAAGAAATGGAAAAAATTTACTACTGATGATTCAAGACAAATTTTCTCTCCCCCTGTTGATGCCAGGGAAGTTGGGGTTGGTAGTTGTGGCCGTGTCTCACCCACTCGGAGCACGCACTCAGCATGGCAGCGCAAAGGGGTAGAATTAGTATGCAGGCTGGGCTGGACAGTTTGCACAAAGTTCATTTGCCAAACTTATTTTGT